GGAGGCTGAGGCAAGACAATCGCCTAAGCCCAGGAGTTGGAGGGTGCTGTGATCTGTGAGGCCATGGTACTCTACGGAGGGCAATAAAGTGAGACTCTGTCTCTAAAAAAAAAAAAAAATACTTACCTGGCAAGGGAGGTACCATGATCATGAAGGTGGTTTACCCAGAGTGAGGCGTATCCATTGCACTCCAGATATGCTGACTCCTGTGATTTCCCCAAATGTGGGAACTTGACTGTATAATTTGTGGCAGTGGAGGGACTGTGTTCATACTTTCCTCCTTAAAAATAAATAAATAAATAAAATTAAAAAATAATTTAATTAATGGTCTTTTAAAAATTTCACAACATACCAGCTGAAAAATCACTGAACTAGAGGTCAGTAGAGTAGTCCTGAGGTTTGATTTGACAGGTAATATGTCAGCCTCATTGAGAGAAAATTATCAGAAAATATTCCTGTTCTAATGGCAAGAGAAAAACAACTTGATTTATTTTAACCTATTAATTAGGCTCTTATTCTATGGAGAATGGAGTGTTCACTAATAAGCCTTTCTATTTCTGATTCTGTAGCAAAATCTGATTTAGGAACACAGGGTAGCCTGGTTTTATTGTAAAACTAGGGAAGGAAAAAAAATCACTTTGACCTATCTAGTTAACTCAATATTTCATGTTAAGGATCAGGAGATGTTTTAAATTTTTCTACTATAACTTGTATCAAATTGTGCTTCTCTGGTTTGGTTAGAAACTGTCTCCACCTACTGGCTGCAATTGACTTGACATTTCATGACAACATCCTCTGTTTTGTATTCCTGAACTGTGTGGTAGCTATGGGAGGGGAGGTACCTAGGTAGGACTGCAGTAAATGTTATACTTCTACATAGTTTTTCCTAAAATTTCTAGAAAGCTTTTGGAAAGTTCTTACTAAAGTTTGCTTGGGGAATAATGGAGGAGAAGCATAAATGAGGGCTTACAAGACCTAAACCAAAGCATTTAAAGTAAGTGGCACATTTGCAATGGCATGTATATCATGTCATTATATGTAGTACCAGATGAATTAAATCTAATTTATGTATTAAATTGTTTAAGCTTTGTTAATTCTTCAACTAAGGTCATTATTTTCCAAATTGATATTGGTTTCAGCTCTGATACCCGTTTGGAAATAATTGTCACTATAATTACTGAATTATACAATAAAATAGGACTTTTTTGGGTTAAAATAGGACTCCTCTTGCCTCAGTCTCCCAAGTAGCCAGGGCTACAGGCATACCCCACAATAGACATTTTCTGTAAAGTATCAAATAGTATTTAGATTTTGCAGGCCATATAGACTTTTTTTTTTTGAGACAGAGTCTCTCTATGTCATCCTCAGTAGAGTGCTGCGGCGTCACAGCTCACAGCAACCTCAAACTCTTGGGCTTAAGCGATTTTCTCGCCTCAGCCTCCCAAGTAGCTGGGACTACAGGCTCCTGCCACAACGCCCAGCTGTTTTTTTGTTGTTGTAGTTGTCATTGTTTGGTAGGTCTCTGGCTGGTTTGAACCCACTAGTCACTGTGTATGTGGCCAGCATCCTAGCCACTGAGCTGCAGGCACTGAGCCCATATTGCTTTTGTTGCAACTACTCAACTCTATCCTTGTAGCAGAAAAAGTAACCTCAGACAATATGTAAATGAATGGGCATGACTGTCTTCCAAAAAAGTTTTATGGAAATAAATTTAGGCTCGGCACCTGTAGCTCAAGTGGCTAAGGCACCAGCCACATACACCTAAGGTGGTGGGTTCAAATTCAGCCTGGGCCCACCAAACAACAATGATGGCTGCAACCAAAAAATAGCCAGGCGTTGTGGTGGGTGCCTGTTGTCCCAGCTACTTGAGAGGCTGAGGTAGGAGACTTGCTTGAGCCAGGAGTTGGAGGTTGCTGTGAGCTGTGATGCCATAGCACTCTGCCCAGGGGGACAGCCTGAAGCTCTGTCTCAAAAAAAAAAAGAAAGAAAGAAATTTAAATTTGATATAATTTCCACATGCCATGATATGTTTTTCAGGCCAGATATGATGGCTCACACCTATAATCTTACCATTCTGGGAGGTCAAGGTGGGTGGATTACTTGAGGTCAGGAGACCAGCTTGAGCAAGAGTGAGACCCTGCTTCTAAAAATAGAAAAACTAGCTGGGTGTGGTGGTGCACACCTGTAGTCCCAGCTACCTGGGAAGCTGAGGCCAAAGGATAGCTTGAGCCCAAGAGTTTGGAGTTGTTGTCAGCTGTGGTGACACTGTGGTGCTCTACCCAGGGTGACAGAGTGACATTCTTGTCTCAAAAATAATTTTATTTTTCCAGCCATTTAAAAAGATAGAAACATTTCTTAGTTTCTGGGCTATATAAAAATAGGCAGTGTTGCCAGATTTGGTCTGCGGGCATAGTTTATTGATCCCTGCTTTATGCTATATTTAGAAACACTTTAAAAATTTATTAATATGTCCTCATATCCTACAGAGGCAAAAATCTAGAAGAGAATGACCCAACTATTAGGTGTACTTCCATGACAAGGAGAACTTATCAGGAGTGTGTTGTACCTATTCACCATTATCGCCTACCACATGGTATAGATTAGCAGTATAGGACTCTGTGTGTGGGAAGTGATTCTTTACCTACACATGTGAGATCTGATATGGTATGGTTTTATGGTATATCTATAGTTTAGACAATTTAAATCCAAAATACCTGAATGAATTTTTTGAAGGATGTTTTGGCACATGAAAATACATACAGGAAAAGATTTTTATGTGAATTTAAAAACCAAAAACATTCAGATAATGTAATCATTCTTTAAAAATTTCAAAAAAGAAATCATCATGATAGCTGAAGAATAATTTGCTGTGCTGAAGGGCGTGTGGTATTGGTACTAGGTTTTATGGGCCATATGATATGAGCAGGGTGGCATAGGTCATTCATTTGCATATCTACCCCCTTCTTCATCTCAAAAGTGAACTTGTCAAAATTGAAGTGCTAATCTTTCCTTTGAAACTTATTTCTCCTACAATCTTGTTTTTCCTCCTAGAAACTTCATTCTTAACATTTCTCTCTACTACCAATTCATCAGGAAATCCTTCTGGGTCTACTTTCTAATCCTTCTGGGTCTATTAATAATCTAACCACTTCTCACCACTTTGGTCTAAGATGCCCTATTATTTCTTGCCTGGATTATGGCATAGCCTCCTAACTGGTCTCTCTGCTTCTCCTGCTGCTGTTTCTATAGTCTGTTTTCACTTGTTAAACAAGGGAGCTTGTTTAAAAAGTCACGTCATGTCACTCTTATGCTCAAGACCTTGTAATGACTTCTCATTTCACTAGGAATGAAAGCCACAACAGTCCTTAAAATTGACTGCAGTAGTCATTAACCCATGAACTCTTCATTTACTTACTTTTCTCTTTTTTATTTTGCTATACTCCTTCAAATCTCTGATTTTCAATGTTTCTTACCTATAATTTTTAGTCAGAAGGTCAACTTACAGAATTATGTTTTTGCTACAGTTTCCTGTTTTCTTAAACTATATAGTTTTTTTAATTGAGGTATGAATTGCATAGAGTATAATATACAAATGTAAAGTATACAGCATATGCAACCCCCATCCAGATCAAGACATTGTACATTTCATTTCTCTAGAAAGTTCTGTTATGCTCTCGAAGCTCCCTGCCTCCCACCCAACCACAAATAACCCTATTCTGACTTACATTACCCCATAAACTAGTTTTGTCTGGTCCTAAACTTGAGTCTTAACTAATACTACTAACTGCGGTACTATAGCTGCTTGGCCCTTCCCTCCACACCAACCCCTGCTTTTATATTCCCTATTCATTACCCTGCAGTACTTTTTCTTTCTTTCATAGTACTTATTATCCTCTAATATATAATATAATTTGTTCTTTTCTGTTATTGTCTTTCTCCCTTCTAGAATCTAAGCTCTCCAAGGGCAGAGATTTTTGTTCTGCCGTGACCCAAGCATTTAGAACAATAAGCGCTCAATAAATATTTGTGAAATGAATGGATGAGAAGGCGAATGGATTGTAAATTGTAGATGATTGAATGGGAGGATTCAGAAATTGAGGAAATTCCTATATGTACTTTTATGTTCTTAGAGAATAAGACATAAAATTATCTTTTGGGTGTATAGGGGAGGTGATAGACTTGGGATCATGAAGACAGTGAAGGAAGTTTGAAATGTTAGAGGCACAGAAAGGCACAGGAGAGTGGTGACTTGGACAACATATATTTCTTGCTTATTGTTGGAGGTTAAAGCAGTGTTCTGGCCGTGCATTTGTATGGTACCAATGAATGTGGCTGAATGATTTACTTCAGCAGAACTTAGCCCAGATGTAGAAACAGAGAAAGTTGACAGGTTTTTTTGCCCTGTAGGTGCAATGGAAGACAAGAGAGATAAGGGAATTGGCAAGATAGTGACTGAAGTGATATACTTTGAATTTTCCTTCTCTTTCTTGAGAAGGAAGAGACAGGCAAGAAAAACAGATGAGGATAATATCAAAGGATCAAGTTTCCAGAGGACTAATTGAGGTCAAAGAATAAATACAATGAGAAAAATAGAGTGAGATACTGATAAAAGGATAAGCAGTTGTTATCAAAGTTAAGATACTACAGTTCATTAGTTTTAAGAACTCTTTTAATGTCTTTGAAGATGAGATGTCAGTTTAATAGGTAACACGTTTTTCATATTGGAATGTGAAATAATGGGCAATCTTCTAGTTGATGGTATCCTAGATTTGATAAAATATGATATTTGATTCTAGAAGTGTACCAGTTATAGGTACTGACAAGGTTACCAGGGTGTGGCCATTGGAGGATGTAACCAAAAAGGAGTAGAGATCAAGTATCTGGTTAGATACATTATAGCCATTGACTTTGAAGATACAGAGTCATGAACTTGTTTTAAGAGTTTCCAGCATGAGAAATGGAGTGACTAGAGCAGGGGTTCTTACCCTTCCTAATGCCATGACCCTTTAATACAGTTCCTCATGTTGCGGTGACCCCCAACCATAAAATTATTTTCATTGCTACTTCATAACTGTAATTTTTCTACTGTTATGGAATCATAATGTAAATATCTGATATATAGGATGTATTTTCCATTGGTCTTAGGGGTCGCAACTCAAGGTTGAGAACTGCTGGACTAGAGGTAGCAGGTGCAGCATAGAAATAGTTTTATAGATGGTCATCTTCTTTCTTCACATAGTGGAAGGGGTGAGGGGTGAGAGAGCTTAATGGGTCTCTTTATA